GGATGCAGCATAGACACGAGATAAGCTTGTATGAATATCCACCGAAATGAAGTGAAATGAATTGGTATCTTTTGACCTGTTCTAAACTCCTCGAACCATAACCATGCGTGTAAACTACCGATCACATTATTTCCCTACCGTCTCAGCTATCGACCACGCACCGCACTACGTCGCAGGAACCGGAGCTGGACCCTCGTTGCGCCGTATGTCTGCAGCCAGCTGCTTGGCCTCGGCAGCATACGCGTCACCCACTTGCTGCTCACCCTGGCTCATCTCGCGCCACCAGGGCAACTTGCCTCCCTTTGGCTGTATAGGCAATGCCCGGGCGGGGGCAACATCGTGCTCAATAGCTTCGAGGCCCTCCATGTCCTCTGGCTGTCCGCGCTCGACCCGTTGTCTCCGATCACCAGTCGCTTGTGCCTCCATGACGTTCTCGACCAACAGCTCTTTGGCCTCCCACTCCTCTTTGCGCTGCTTCTCCAGCACGTCTGCCTCGGCGCGCAGTTGTTCGCTCTCTTGCTGCGCCCACTGCAGCTGGCGGCGCAGTAGTCTGAACAGATCTGGTGCGGGTAGGGCGAGCTCTCGGTCTGTGAAGCTGATGTCTGGTGGGAACTGCACCATGGTGGGCGCACCAGGGCTCGCGAGATCCTGGAGGTAAATGACGTTGTTATGCGCATAGTCCGCTTCTGAGGCCGGAGGGACGGCCGCGCTGTTCGCAGGCGGATGTGAGTGCGACGCAGGCGATCCTGGTGTCGAGTCTTTGTCTAGCTTCTTGTCGTTGGCGTTGAGGATGAGTCTGATGCGCTGCTTGTTGTTGGAGGGGTTGGAGGAGTGGTGCTTGGGTACGGGGTCGGATGGGCGGAGGGCTTCGGTTTCGTGGACGGTACGCATGTGCTTAGCCAGCGCGTCGGAGCGGGTGAAGGAGCGGTCGCATTCTAGTACAATCCATCAGTACAGGCCCGAGAGGTAGAGTACGGGGGAGAGAGACATACCAGGCAATGTGCAGTAGAAGGGCTTCTCGCGCGTGTGACTTCGCATATGCGCTCTCAGTGCGTAGCCACTTGCATGTGGTATCCCTTTCCTCGTGCAGTCGCTCCACTCGCAGCTGTACTTCTTCTGGCGCGTGCCAATGTGGCCATCGTGCAGATGATCGACCAAGCGATCCATGTTCTCCAGATCGCCAGCCTCACAGCCCTCCCACTTGCACACGGTCACCTGGTCCTGGCCAAACTCGTCGAGGTCCTGCGACATGCCTGGGTGGTGGTTTGGCGACGCAGGCACTGAGCCGTCGGTGTCTGGCGAGACATAGCCTTCCTCGTCTTCGGGCAGCGGAACGGCGATCTGCGCTGGTGGTGACGAGGGCGCGCGGTTGTTCAGACGCAGCCGCTTGCTGGGGCGATGGTCGTGGTCGGGGGTGGGCTCCATGCTGCGCGGTCGGCCCTTGACGTCCTCGGGGAAGTCGTCGGAGGCGTAGTCTGAGAGGTCTGACGCCGGTGAGTCCATGATGGCGGGTTCTGTGCCAAGTCCGGGTGGTGAATGGCACGGTGAAGGCCGACGTGAAGCTGGGTGAGCTTTGACCATGGCGCGCTGGACGTGGTCGTCGAGTAACCGAGTTTAGCTCCGACGCGCATTTTTTGGTCCCTCCATCTCGACGTTTGACCTCTCCAACACCACCTCAACATTGATGGGTATTTTCTACTTCAACTAAGGCACAAGCTTCACAACCCAGCATCATGTCGCACAGTCACTCGCTGCTCACCTTGTATTAAAGGCCCCGCGCGCTGTGCTCCACTGACTGACTGTAAGTGAGAAGCATTGCTCCCTCCCCATTCTCGAGATGATTTTACAGGTTCTGCAATTCATAAGGTCTCGCCTCACGGCGTCATCGCATGCAGATTAGCCTATACACTACTTCAAACTGACTGCCTTTTACTCCAATTCTTATCGCTCCACCTTGAAGCTTGTTCATGTTCTGACCTTTGCTTCTTACAGACTCACCCTCCCTCATGCAAACAGCATCTTCTCCGAGCCTGGAGGGTACCTTCCGCCCTTGACATCGAACTTCTCCAGAATCTGTTGCAACGCCTTGAAATCACTCTCGCTCAACGTCGCTGGCTTTGAATTCTCCACCACCCTGTCTGCGGTAGAAGCGCCCGGAATGGGGATCAGAGTCGGCATCCCCGGTTTATTGCTCTGATACAACACCCAGCCAACGGCAATCTGTGCTGGTGTGACACCCTTCTGCTTCGCGAGATCTGCAACTGCGTCGGCGAGCTTGATGTTCTCGTCAAAAACATCAGGCTGGAAGCGCGGGAAGTGACGGAGTAGCGAATCGTGCTCGAGGTCATCGAACTTCTTGTACTTGCCGTTCTGCTGAATGTTAGCCCAAGCCACTCATCGTCTACAGATCATGCTCACTAGGAACCCTCGTCCCATGGGCGAATATGCAATGATAGGGATCCCGAGCTCAGCGCACGTCGACGCAACACCATTCTCCAAAATCTCTGTCGCGTACAGCGAAAATTCAACCTCCACTGCAGATATGGGATGCACAGCATGTGCCTTTCGAATACTCTGCGGCCCCACCTCGCTCAAGCTGATACCACCCAGCTTTCCTGCCTTGACATACTCAGCCATATACCCAATCGTCTCCTCAATCGGGACATTGAGGTCGACCCGTCCAAACTCAAAGAGATCGAGGAACTTCTTGCCAGCAAGAACCTCGAGGCAATTGTCAATCGTGCGCTGCACACCAGCTTTCGTGCCATCCATTTTGCCCGTGCTCAAGTCGAGTCCGCCCTTGATCGAGATGACAACTTTGTCGGCGTCCTCGGGGTATTCGGTGAAGTACTCATTGAGAAGGTGAAGAGAGTTGCGCTCCGCTGTGCCGTAGAATTGGCCGCCGTTCCAGTTGTTGCAACCCACAGATAAAGCGGCGCGCATGGCCTCGAAGCTCTGTGAGTTGGGCGGAGGTGTCTCGCGCCATGTGAGGCCTGTAATGCCAAGATTAGTGCCGTGAAGACAATGCTGAAAACATGAGCGAGCACGTACCCATGAGGCCGAAGCCAACTTCACCGACTTCTTTTCCTGTAAGCTTAGGCATCTTTGCTGGTATTTCTGAAGGTTCGAAGAGCTTGGTGTTTGTATTGGTGTACACAGCGCGACTTTCGCTTGGCGGGGTAGATACTCAAGTACTAATTTATTAAGAGCTATGAAGGATGTTACACTAGGTCAATGCCCTTCCTCATCGCTGCCCCTCTACCTTTATGTTGTCCTTCATGTAGCTTCGGACTAAAACCTTCCGTTTGTGACGCCATACATTCATGACCGCGTCCGTTGATTTGGTACTTTGCAGGCGGTATGTCGGGGCGTAACGCTCTAAAATCCGTACCTTGAGCCGCAGCCAATCGATTCGCAGCAGTAGACGGGCCGATGGACTTAAGACGGCTTAAGTAAGGCTACTACAACGAAGCGTATTGTTTGTCATAACACGTGAACTGGGACTTCGCTTTAAAAGACCGATGCGGCAGTTCATATATGGACTCGTTGCAGGCTTGGTGCATTGAGAGTAGCTGCATGGGTTTGGACATCTCCTGCAGCGTTAGAGACGGAGGAAAGACGAATTCGTGACGAAGACTCTAGAAGATCTTTGGAGTCATTCGTCTCGTGAGCCGTGATTTGCCAGGAGAGCAGTCTCATAGTACGCCTGATGAATGCCGATAGAATTGACTGACCCCCAGTTGTTCATGTTCATGTTCACCAGAAAAGCACCAAGAACTTGTAGCTACGCCATTCTGCCTTGGTCGGCGGGATACAAGGGTGCGGTTTTGGACGACATTTCTCGTCCAGATTGAGATATGTCGTTGAGAAGAACCGTCTTTTACCCTGCGCTCAGAGCTTGCTGAGTATAACGTGTATAGCTCGGTCTTGTATAGCGCGTAACTCTGGCTCTTTGTATAGTTCCCTTTGCTGCTCTCGGTAGAGGCTTCTCTATAGCAGTGATGACAACAAGATCCGCTGACAGTCGACCGTGTGATGGGCAGATTTGACTTGTCTGCTCTATGGAGGTTCGCAGTGTGCTTTGAAGCCATCGTGTGAGATGTCGTGATATTTCGGTTCCACTAACAGCGACATCTGGGATCTTGATTCGTCATACACTAAAATACCTTTGATAGCTACACAACATTGCAAGGTCCTTTTCATTGGGACTGGGTTCAACTTTTCTCCATTGTTCACCACGAGGACATCCTCGAGATGCAACTCATATTTCTATAAATCCTGTCTTGTAGAATGTCCCGGGAAGCAGTTCTTAGTCCGATATTCTTGAAATTCAGGATACGTAACGAAGGTACCTTGGAGGTGGTCGACACCTTGTCTGCGAACAAGGACCATTGATGCTGATCTTCTAGCACAGATTTTGAGCTCTATATTTTGGTGTGTGCACTGGTAGCGAATCTAAAGTCTTTTGCTGGGTTACAGGCTGAGCCGGAAGGAAGATATGATGTAACGACATCCTAAATTTATTGTGGAAGCTCGTGGCGCACCGTGTTGCTGAGTAGCACTTATGGCTCTTACGACAAGGCAGACATGCTAACAAAATGCTTGGGAAGGGTGCGACAACAAAGTTTCAGCTCCTCATGCGGTACTTGGTGAGGCACAGCTCAACAAATATTCAGAGCCCAGATACGCTGTTGGATATTACAACGTGGACCAATCGATCCTAACGCATTGACGAAGCGCTTTGATCAGTAGTCTTGGCAGATGACAAGATTTGATTGCCCAGGCCTGGGGTTTAGGTGGATTGATGTAAAAAAAAAGTGGTTTTCAAAATTGAGAACTCAGTCATTTCGCTAAAACACGCTAAGCTTGGGGAGTCTCGCACTCTAAAAATCACCTTTAAATTGTATGAGAGAGGACATATTGGCGACAGGAAGGGAAGGTCTTCATTTTTTGCGTATATATTACATATAACTCAACAGACCTTCAACAATCAGTTCAGAGGTCTTGTGGTCTAGTGGTATGATTCTCGCTTAGGGTAAACCCAAGCACAGCTTGCGAGAGGCCCCGCGTTCGAGTCGCGGCAAGACCCCTTTTTTGCACCTTTTCGGTATCTGGAAGGACAGGAACAATGTAAAATAACATTTTGCCATCACAAGGGACATGTGAATTTCGATGCAATCAAACAACACGCAATTTCTCCTGCTCCGTCCTGAACATGAGCCAATTTCCACTGGAGTACAATCCGTGTGCCGTGAAGCCGTTCTTGCTTCGTGATCCTCTCTAGTGTGCCACGTGCGACTCAAACGGACATAGCTTCACGCTTAACCAAATAGCACGCTTCACATGTTTCCGGCCACAATTCTCGAAGACCTCAACACTCGTTCACAAACTCATTACCACAAAGGTCAGGATGCAATTGCGCTGGCCGTATCCCACCGGCCCCAGGTCAGGAGCATGGGGCCCAACAACTTCAAATCACAAGTGAGTCCGGGAATTGCGCCTGCGTACGTGGCCACGAGCAATGCTAATGATGCAGTTTCTGTGAAGAGGTATGTATCACCACGTACCTGTACTGATACATTGGCTCATCAGTTTGCAGGACTACGTCATCACCAAATACGTCGGCGAGTTCATGAACACAATCACCAATACCATCTATGGTACGCACTCACGTGCGGATGTAATCACTGCTGCAAACTAAAACATGGCCACAGTCATCTACGGTATCCACGGCCTCCGCAGAGTCCAGCCCCGCAAAGACGGCGGCCTCCTCTCCACCCTCGCTTGCCCCTACTGGGGCCTCATCGGCGTGGGCTTGCTGTCAGCTTGGTTCCACGCTACCTTGAAGTACCATTCGCAAATGGGCGACGATCTATCAATGTTCCTCGCAGTCGGGACTCTTCTGCACCAGCTTGTCTGCTTCGAAGCTACGCAGGCTCAGCGAATCAAGTACACTATCGCGATCCTCGGCTCGCTGATTCCAGTATCTGTGTACCATGTCTGGGCGGATGAGATTTACGTTCATGAGATTGTGTTTGCCATTTATGTTTATCTGGTGTCGAAGAAAGCAAGGGAGTTGATCAGGAGGCAGATTAAGAGCGAAGAGGGCAAGAAGCGTCTGGGCAATTTGGCGACGTTTGGTGTTTGTATGTTGACTGCCGACGGTCTTTGACCGCCTTTCGCTGACTTTTTTGTAGCATCCGGCATCTCCGGCTACTTCCTCTGGTCCATCGACTTCCATCTGTGCAAATACGTCACAGCTTTCAAGCACTCCATCGGTCTGCCGTGGGGCTTTTTCTTCGAGCTGCATGGCTGGTGGCACATCTTCACTGGTATCGGCGCGTATGTCGGTATGGCTGTAGTCGAGTATCTTGTCACAGTTGAAACAGGCAAACCCGGCAGAATCGAGGAGGGGTTTGTGTGGCCTGTCAAAGCCGTCCTACGGGACCTGGACTCAAATGAGCGGAGAGGGGTGAGGAAAGATCAGTGATTGGAGGTCTAGATCCATCGAGAATCTCCCTGTCTGGCGATGTGAGCGCAGTCTGGTGCGGATGCGAGCATGTCCAACTTTATAGAGTCGCGCCTGACATTGGGAGACTAAGCATGGCCAAGAGAGCCTCGTGTAATCCGTGTACCATCACTGTAGAAAATACACAAGTGATCGTTGGTTGGAACCATTCAGGGATCACTACTACGCATCGTGGGTGTATTATCAGGGCCGCTGTTAGATAAGAGATACTTCAGATGTTTGCTTGTCACTGCTGGTATTGGAGTGGTATTTTCCCTACTGATGCTCAGTCTTGCCAAAACATACTATCAGATTATGCAGTCCCAAGCCGTGCTACTAGTCAGGACTCTGTTTGGGATTCTTGTACGTGCCTAGCGTCGCTTTGATCCCGTTGCACTTCAAGACCTGGCGTGGAGTCACGCTCGGGCTCGCGACTGCAGGTGGATCATTCGGCGGCGTAACTCATCCTCTCGTCTTTCGCCATTTGCTCGCCAGCTTTGGCTTCGGCTGGGCAAATCGAATTATTGGCTTCATCGTAATCTTGACCCTTGCGATTGCCACGATCTGGATTCGTCCTTTATGTACTCCATCGACAAGGCAGCTCATAGGTTTCGCCGTGTATACAGGCGCACCATATGTGTTCTTCACAATTGCTGGATTCGTGCTCCTTTCAGGAGTGCCTCTTCCGATTATCTTGATCACGACCTATGCTTCTGCAACGCTTTCTGTGCCGACCGAAAGCGATTCATACCTTCTAAGTATTACAAATGCTGCTCAATTATTTGAGCTCACGCTACCACTACTAGTTTGTAATTGGGTTAGACCTGAAACCCTTTTCTTCGGCGCAGTCGTGGCAGCTGGATTTGTTGTCTTTTCGTGGATAGCTGTAACATTTTTGGCTGGCAGTAGTCTGGGCTGTCGTATATGGATTTCTTGTTGGGATGGCAGTGACGTTGCCTGCCGTTGTTCTCCCACACATCACACCTTCAATATTGGTGCCGGGAACACATATAAGCTTGCGGAGGCATTGGATATCTTTCAAGTGTATCTGTCATGTTCTATCCTTTGACTGCGTGGGAAGCTCGAAAGAGGAGGAAGTTTTACGAAGCTAACGGGGCGAATACTCCTTTATGGTGGTTTCAATAGAAGAAGGTATAGTAGAGTACGCAAGCAACGAAATTATTGCGTCTGATAATAATTAATAATGTGCTTCAGAGGTAGTAGGCTATACATGTTAGAAGGCTACGCAAGCTCTTGCTCTTACTATAATACTTCCTCTCGTTCACACTACTCTGTTATTATACCAACCAGCCGCTCCATTCCTACATAAACTACTCCAACCGGTATGTACTTCAAAATCCTTCGTGAGAAGCTTGAGAACCAGTACATAGGGACAGAGGTCATAGCTGACTTCTTAAAGTCAAATCATGTTTTCGGTTGTTCTTGGACTTCCTCCAATTGCGCACCGTTCAATCGTATCTATTCGACAATTTGATGTCTTACACTGCTATTCCATCTCAAAGAACTCGATGAGGCTGCAGAAACTGCACTTGAAGCCACAGGTGTTCTCGCACTCATCAATGCACTGCACGGCTCATCTAAATTGGGCTGCGATAAATTGATGTTAGACTCTTGAGAATAAAATCTGCAATTCAAAATCTACAAACTACGCAAACACCCTTATACAATACTGACGAAATGGAGTACCACAAGACATAAGACCGATTATACTTTGATGGAGGTTTCGAAAAATTCTTATCTTCACGCTGGGGCGTCGTTGTCGATTAGCAGAGGGAAAATGCTAGGGATAATGGAAGGAGGCAGAGCAGGTAGGACAACTGCAGGTAACAAATTGACCAAGTTCAACACCAGTGCAGTGTTGGTGCTTCAATGCCAAAATATTCGAATTGAGCGCATGCGAAAGTTGGTGGAGTGCGAGCATAGGAAGGCATTGTCGCTGAGCCTTTGTATCAGCTCTTGTCGTGATCAGAAGCCTACCAGGGGTGAAAGCAGTCATGACGCAAAGACTTCTGTCCAACGAGTCAACAATACGGTTACGGAAAACCCTGTATAGTCGACCCAAAGACATCCCATACCGCTACACACTTCCGATGTACGCAGGGTTCATGTGCCACTTGCGAATTATCAGGTCCCTTGGCGAACTGCGACACGATCGGAACGCACGCCCCCATCGAGCGTGTTGCTCGGAGCATCAACCGATTGCATGCGATTCTCCACTCCATGACGTCAACCTCAATGCTCGAGCCAGGTCGAATGTATCGAGCTCGTTGGTTGAAACATCGTCTTCTGTGCGTTTGATGCCAGCAATATGAAACTTACATCGCAACCACGCGATGATGTGTTCGAATGTGCATGTATCGAGGGCGCAAGTTGCTTCGTTCAAGCCTACAGACTTTATACATGCGGCTCTGCCATATCAACGTGAGCAGCTTTGCTTGATGCACGTACCACGGAAGCATGATCCACCTGATGTCACATCGAAGATCAATGCACAATATCAGCAAATCAGACAATGGGTCGGTTGTAGACGTTGCTTTAGGGTCTTGACGCAGCGCCACACAGCTCGCCAGACACGGGAGACAATGCACTCCGCAATTCTGTGCTATGACGAAGTCCGCTCCAAAACCCCATACTTGGTTTCTCCACCAATCGGTATCTGGGGTACAAAGACCTGTTCTCCGGTTATTGGAAGCCAACCTTGCATAAGTCGACGACCTAATTGTAATGGTGCATCGTATTTATTAGCCAGGCCAAATTCCAAGGACCGAGAAGTGGAGTGGTGTCACCAATAAGGATAGACAAAAGTCTTAGCCCTTACATCCATTGACAACCGAGCAGTTCCCTAACATTCATAAACCACGAGTGCTGACCATTTCCCTGGCTTTGCCCTACAACTGACTGCATTCAACTCGTGCCGAATTTGGAGCTTCGTGGCTCCCATCCCTCAAAATGTTTGAAAAGTTTCCAAAGATCTACAATGTCTACTTCCTGGCAATCGTTGCTACAACAGGGGGCATGCTGTTCGGCTTCGACATCTCATCCATGAGTGCGATTATTGCAACCCCCCAATACACGTACGTACAATTACAGCAACTTAATCTTGATCCGAAGCATACACGTACTGATAACAATCAGCAACTATTTCGGAAACCCTTCTGGAGTTGTACAGGGCGGCATTGGTTCTGCGCTCGCTGGTGGATCCATTATTGGATCGCTTATGGCTGGAACCATATCAGACAAATTTGGGCGCCGAGATGCCCTTTTGTTTTCTTGCATCTTCTGGCTCATCGGCACTTCTCTTCAGGTTGCCTGTAATGGCATACCGATGTTGATTGTTGGCCGCATGTTCAACGGAGTTACTGTGGGCATTTCATCTTCTCAAGTCCCTGTATATCTTGCAGAGATCTCGAAGCACTCGCAACGTGGTGCCATCATCATCATTCAGCAGCTGGCTATTGAATGGGGGATCTTGATCATGTAAGGTCCGCCGCCACGGTTTTCGATTGTCAACTAACGCGAGTAGGTACTTTATCGGCTATGGATGTTCGTTCATTGGCAAC